GTTAACATGGTGTCTACTTAGTGTTAACATGGTGTCTACTTTGGGTTAAAATGGTGTCTACTTGGTGTTAACATGGTGTATACTTGGTATTAACGTGGTGTCTATTTGGTTTGGTATTATGTAGAGGACGTGTTTATGTCATATTCCCCATGCTGTGAACTCTAGCAGACACCAAGCAAGCTCAAGACCGCATTTAAGATGTGGCCAGCTAAAAATAGTATGTTGACCTAAATAAAATTAATAGTCTGTATTTATTAGAATTTTGTAGAAGAATCTGGAGTAAACTGGAAAAGAAAACAATGCGTAAGGCAATTCTAGATACATCAGTAGATGAGACTTTAAAAGGGGGACACGATAGATTTTTGGGAGAGCATTTATCACAAGATATTTTTACTTTACGCGGCGACAGACGAGAGTTATTATGAGAGTGTGTTATTCTTGTTAGAGCTGTATATACTGTATATGTGTGGATTCCTATTCATCGTTGTACCATTTTTGCACGTTGTATTTTCATCAACTTTGTACCAGCACAAGAAAAACAGTCCTTTGTAAATCAATAGCTTTAATTATATTTATTTTCTAATTTATTAGTAACTTAATAAAACTTATTAATTGTAATTAGCCCTGGTTTGAGTGTCGCATTCTCTGTTATTGTACTTATCATTTGGTATCGTCCTTTGTTATGTACTGTTGTAGAACGAGCCATACACTTAAATAGGAGATTAGTTTCTCCATACAGATAACAGTACGTAATAATGGTGTCTTCTAGTTGTCAATCTTCTTCTTTTATATGGCTGTGACTCCAGTCGCAAGAAGGCGTTGCGTAGCGATGGTCAGTGCCACTGGGGTGGGTCAAGAGATTTGCCAACCTTTTACCGTGACAAAGAAACCCACTTCTAAAGTATACCTGAAACGCCACCTGTCGGCATAGAGGTTTACATTGTAAACCTACCTGACTTCATTCCCTAAAAGTAGCACTCTGAACCTACCTGACTGATAAAGGCAAGATTTTCTGTTTTCCAGAAAGATTCTGGGGGTTGCTTCCGCAGCCATGGCACCAAGAAGTGATAGGCCAGGTGCTCCATCACCAGTAACAGCACAGCAATCAAAATGGCAGTCACTAATATAATGAAGAGGCCACCTGGCAATAGATAATCAATGTGAAATCAAAGTGTTGGACACTTTCAGAACAATAGACAAAGTCTACAAGTCCTTGTGGTTAAAGGAGAATAATTATCCTGTGCTGTGGTTTTCAGTATTATATTTGAAATTATATAGTTATATACATACTTTATACCTTTTAAAAGATAACAGATGACATTTGTCGTGAACAGCAGGTGTCCCTCTATATCGCTTTGAAACACATTTCCTCTATTTTACTTTTAAGGAGCCCATGGAGCCATTATACGTGCTTGACCAAAGCGGACATTTCAGCGGAAATTTTTCTGTTTCTCACGACTGTCTATCTCTTTATATGTGCACATTACAGTGTGCTTCCATGTCGTTAAACTTGCCTATCAATAGCGGCATAAGCATACTTACCTCTCCACCTCACCATATATAACCAACTAATGTCATTGTAGCTGCCATATACAGAAAATTAATGGCATATACCAGCCATATATTGGAGTTCTAGCTGCCATTTAAAGCCAAGTAAAGGAATTTTTCCGTCATTGAAATGAAATGAATGGAATCCTATCTGCCATTTAAATCAAAGAAATGGAATCCTATCTGCCATTTAAATCAAAGAAATGGAATTCTAGCTGCCATTTTAAGCCAAGAAAAGGAATTCTGGCTGCCATTTAAATAAAATAGAATCAATTCTAGCTGCCATTTAAATCAAATGGAATTCTAGCTGTCATTTTAAGCCAAGTTAAAGAATTCTGGCTGCTATTTAAATAAAATAAATGGAATTCTAATTCCATTTAAATTAAATCAATAGAATTCTAGCTGCCATTTAAATAAAATCAATAGAATTCTAGCTGCCATTTAAAGCAATCAAATAGAATTCTAGCTGCCATTAGCAGCACTTTATATTTCATGATGCACACCTAGGTACTTAGTAGAACATTTAGGCACACCCTAGAATACTAGAACGTGCCGAGTGACTCCGAAAGTACCCGTATTTTCAAGACCATATGGGTTAGCTGAACCCGACAGGAAGAGTTCACAATGTGGTCGTGAGAGAAAGATTGTGAAAGTACCTGTATGTTCAAGACCATATGAGTTAGCTGGACCCGAAAGGAAAAGTTCACTTTGTGGTCGTGCATGCACAATGACTCTGAAAGTACCTGTCTGTTCATGACCATATGGGTTAGCTCAGACCAACAGGAAGACTTCACAATGTGGTCGTGAGAGAAATATTCTGAAAGTACCTGTATGTTCAAGACCATATGAGTTAGCTGGACCCGATAGGAAGAGTTCACAATGTGGTCGTGAGAGAAATATTCTGAAAGTACCTGTATGTTCAATACCATATGAGTTAGCTGGACCCGATAGGAAGAGTTCACAATGTGGTCGTGAGAGAAATATTCTGAAAGTACCTGTATGTTCAAGGCCATATGGGTTAGCTGAGCCCGACAGGAAGAGTTCACATTGTGGTCGTGAGAGATATTTCTTCCCTAGCTCTTGAACAAATCCACTCTCAGTATACTTGAGGATCTCATTAGAGATGGGAATCTGTGGAGAAAGAAATTGTGGCATGTAACTAGTGAGATCTCTAGGGAACAGTAACTAATGAAATCTCTAGGGAACAGTAACTAGTGAGATCTCTAGGGAACAGAGATCTCTTGGGAACAGAGATCTCTAGGGAACATTTACTGGTGACATCTCCGGGGAACAGTAACTAGTGAGATTTCTAGGGAACATTCGTTTGTTAGGAATAGTTGTGAGCTGCATTCCTGGAAGAGGATTCAAATTTGTTATTGATGCTAAGCTGTTTAATTAATGTGCGTATGTAGTGAGAGGAGAGAGAAGTGTGCATGTGATGTTATAATGTGCGTATGTAGTGAGAGAGATGTGTGCATGTGATGTTATCAATGTGCGTATGTAGTGAAAGAGATGTGTGAATGTGATGTTATCAATCTGCGTATCTAGTGTGAGAGATGTGTGCATGAGATGTTATTAATGTGCGTATGTAGTGAGAGAGATGTGTGCATGTGATGTTATTAATGTGCGTATGTAGTGAAAAGAAATATCTTAGATATTGTTACATGAATAATCATATATTGGGAAATGCATTTATACATATGGTTGAGTTTATGTGTTGATATGCGCTAATAAGCGTGTGCATATGGTCAAGTAAATGTGTGGGTATGGTCAAGTAATTGTGTTCTTATGGTCGAGTAATTGTGTGCATATGATCAAGTAATTGTGTGCATATAATCAAGTAATTGTGTGCATGTGAACTGATGAATATGGACATATGATTAAGTTTATGTGTGGTTGCTGCTTGGTATGAACTAATGGCACTTTTGTGTCATGACCAATGGTGGCTTCTTCTTGTTTGGAAATGAAGGCACTTTTGTGTCGTGACCAATGGTGGCTTCTTCTTGTTTGGAAATGAAGGCACTTTTGTGTCGTTACCAATGGTGACTGCTTCTTGTTTGGAAATGAAGGCACTTTTGTGTTACGACCAATGGTGACTGCTTCTTGTTTGGAAATGAACGCACTTTTGAGTTACGACCAATGGTGACTGCTTCTTATTTGGAAATGAAGGCACTTTTGTGTTACGACCAATGGTGACTGCTTCTTGTTTGGAAATGAAGGCACTTTTGTGTTACGACCAATGGTGACTGCTTCTTGTTTGGAAATGAAGGCACTTTTGTGTCGTGACCAATGGTGGCTGCTTCTTGTTTGGAAATGAAGGCACTTTTGTGTCGTGACCAAATCTTGTTAACGACGAAAGCATCTCAAGCCAATTTACATATGATAACTAGATACTTGGCTCTTGGCCGGGCTGGTCGATAACGGAGTGGTCAGCCATCATGATGTCCAGCGTCAATTGGGCGTCGTGAGTCAGTATACATAATACGTCTTATACTTCTGTACACTCGTATAGGCTTGTGTACGGTTGTGTACATTTTAATATATTTGAACAATATCTAACTCATTAGGTTAACTTTGTTTGTGAGCATTGATTGGTTATGTGATTGTTAAGGCTTTTGTTAGATGAGAGAAGTTATAAACAATCTCTTTGGGCCTGAGGTTTCAGCACCAGTCGCTTCGTGTGTTGATTTTGTTGGACTACCAAATGTACACTTAGTTTGTGGTCCACATTGGGGCGTTGAGGTCTACACGCCACACTTACCTTGGTGTTTAAGTGGTTTTCTACACGCCACACTTACCTTGGTGTTTAAGTGCTGTTCTACACGCCACACTTACCTTGGTGTTTAAGAGGTGCTCTACACGCCACACTTACCTTGGTGTTTAAGTGGTGTTTTACACGCCACACTTACCTTGGTGTTTAAGTGGTTTTCTACACGCCACACTTACCTTGGTGTTTAAGTGCTGTTCTACACGCCACACTTACCTTGGTGTTTAAGTGGTGCTCTACACGCCACACTTACCTTGGTGTTTAAGTGGTGTTTTACACGCCACACTTACCTTGGTGTTTAAGTGGTGTTCTACACGCCACACTTACCTTGGTGTTTACGTGGTGTTCTACACGCCACACTTACCTTGGTGTTTAAGTGGTGTTCTACACGCCACACTTACCTTGGTGTTTAAGTGGTGTTCTACATGCCACACTTACCTTGGTGTTTAAGTGGTGCTCTACATGCCACACTTACCTTGGTGTTTAAGTGGTGCTCTACACGCCACACTTACCTTGGTGTTTAAGTGGTGTTCTACACGCCACACTTACCTTGGTGTTTAAGTGGTGTTCTACACGCCACACTTACCTTGGTGTTTAAGTGGTGCTCTACACGCCACACTTACCTTGGTGTTTAAGTGGTGTTCTACACGCCACACTTACCTTGGTGTTTAAGTGGTGCTCTACACGCCACACTTACCTTGAGCCACGAATGTCGGGACAATCCAAAAGCGTAGCCGTCGGATCCGAACGCTTTGCCGGCAAACCTGACCTTGCAGCCCTTGTCAAACCTGGCCAGTGCGTACTCCAGCAACGGCCGGTCATCTAAGTACACATCCACTGACCTCTCCCTGGAAAAGTAAGAAAAAGTTAAAAAAAACCCGGTAAATTAACCGCTTGGCAATGTGTATCGCGTCTCGGGAGACCAATGTAGTCAAAGATATGTATAGACATGTGTGACCTTAGTTAATATATAGTTTATATAATAGATGCATTCAAAATTATTTTTTACATGATCCATAGCAACATAAGTAACAGTAACTCTCCAACTGTATGACGGAGAAGAAATAAAGAATTGGTAAGCTGAGTAACAACTATCTATGTTACCCAATTAAGGAGTGTTGTAATTGGTACGACGCGTGGTTACATTACAGGTTGAAATAAATTACTCTGAATTTTTAATAAAATGAATGGTAATTTGTGTAGCATTTAACGATGGTGTATTCATGGGTTACATTCACGTGTGTAGCATTTAACGATGGTGTATTCATGGGTTACATTCACGTGTGTAGCATTTAACGATGGTGTATTCATGGGTTACATTCACGTGTGTAGCATTTAACGATGGTGTATTCATGGGTTACATTCACGTGTGTAGCATTTAACGATGGTGTATTCATGGGTTACATTCACGTGTGTAGCATTTAACGATGGTGTATTCATGGGTTACATCCACGTGTGTAGCATTTAACGATGGTGTATTCATGGGTTACATTCACGTGTGTAGCATTTAACGATGGTGTATTCATGGGTTACATTCACGTGTGTAGCATTTAACGATGGTGTATTCATGGGTTACATCCACGTGTGTAGCATTTAACGATGGTGTATTCATGGGTTACATTCACGTGTGTAGCATTTAACGATGGTGTATTCATGGGTTACATTCACGTGTGTAGCATTTAACGATGGTGTATTCATGGGTTACATTCACGTGTGTAGCATTTAACGATGGTGTATTCATGGGTTACATTCACGTGTGTAGCATTTAACGATGGTGTATTCATGGGTTACACTCACGCGAATGCCTCCATGCTCAGGTTATTGTAAAATAGTTTAACGAAATCAGCCGGAAACCTTCCATTGTCTAAACGTTAACAAGTGTTCATCAGTGGAATATGGTTACACTGTGGTTACAATATGGTTACAATATGGTAACAAGTGTGTCGAGTTCAAACGGATGTCAAATCACTGGTCAGAACTCGTAAGTATCCCATGGTCAACAAGACAAAGCAGACAGTGAAACCTGTTTGACAGATCAGGAGCGTGGGCGACCCGGCATGTCACATGGGGGTGTATAGCCCCTCGCCCCCCCCCCACGTCCCCGATTGTGATTTTGTATCAAAATTTATGTTGGAATATGTGGTCAGTAAATACATGCAGTGACTGTCATTCATGTGGTCAGTAAATACATGTAGTGAGTGTCATTCATGTGGTCAGTAAATACACGAAGTGACTGTCATTCATGTGGTCAGTAAATACACGAAGTGACTGTCATTCATGTGGTCAGTAAATACATGTATGACTATCATTCATGTGGTCAGTAAATTCATGTAGTGACTGTCATTCATGTGGTCAGTAAATACATGTAGTGACTGTCATTCATGTGGTCAGTAAATACATGTAAGGACTGTCATTCATGTGGTCAGTAAATACATGTAGTGACTGTCATAAATGTGGTCCGTAAATACATGTAGTTTGTCATACTTGTGGTCAGTGAATATATGTCATAAAGTTGACCACACATTATAAATTTGTAGCGTGCCCTTAAAAATAATTTTGTTTTAGGGACTTGATTCATCCATGCAAATGATGTGCGATCTTTATCATCACAATTCTCTTTTCATTAGCTGACCGCAGCCTTTCTTTGTAATCATAAGTGGCCACCTTACTTTGTAATCACAAGTTGCCAGTAGGTGTTTAAGTTAATTTTTTTTAAAAAGTCAATTTAAAACATATTTGACGGACCTATAGCGTTTTAAAATTTTATTTTTATTTTTAAATGGATATTATATATGTTTCCCACCGGGAGTTGGGTAGAGTGGACTTCTTTTGTTTGGAATCTATTACCGGTGGCTTTTAACAACTTTTCTCCAGACATTCAGCCATGGTAAGTTTTTTTGGTGTGACGTTTCTTCCACATAATATTTGGGATTCATCTGTTTAATTATAGGTATTGTCTCATGTCTTCCATAAAGTAATGTCTTAATTGCTGTAATAATTTTTCATATTCTACAAGATGTCTACTTTCTTCTACAATGTTCTTATAGGTTAATTCGTTTGTTGGTTGCATTTTGCAAAATAATAACCAAGTCAAAAAAAAACTACAAAAACAAAAAACAAACAAAAACAAACAACAACTTGAAACATTTAACAAGGGTTAGCCAAGAGTGAAGAGTAGGAAAATATTTGCTTGAACCCAGCCTAGAGCTACCGCCTTCTCTCGACTGAAGCAATTTCCAGCAGAAAATCTCAGTTTAATGTACTAGAAACGGAAGTACTCAAGCAGACGAACGGCGCACATGCGTAGGGCAGGAGAACTTTCACACTTCAGGATTTATTTTTTAATGAGTTGCTTAAAAGGAGCTGGTTCTATTTGCCTAAAGAGAGTGAGAGAGAGAGAGAGAGAGAGAGAGAGAGAGAGAGAGAGGGAGAGAGAGAGATACAGATAGATAGATAGAGAGCGAGATAGAGAGTGAAAGTGTTAGTTTGGTGAAATGAAAAAGAAAGACGTGAAGAGAGGAAGAAAGAAAAAGAGGGAAATAGAGAGAGAGAGAGAGAGAGAGAGAGAGAGAGAGAGAAAGAGAAATAGATAGTGATAGAGATTGAAAAATTACTATCAATCTATCTCTCTATATATTTATATCCGTCCATGCATCCACCCATCCATCCATCCATCAATCCATTATCTGTTTTGTAACCAAAAGATGTCAGCAAACGACGTCCTCTGGAGATAATATTTGTCAAGGGTTTCCAAACCTACAAACCTAAAACCATAGAAGGTGAAAACCCGAACCATCGTTGAATACAAAACTTTGAATAATTTTGTTTCAATGCATGAGTTATATTTAGAGCGCTTTAAGTTAATTGGTCACCAGATGTGCGTTAAAAGAGACCGATCTCGTCCTTGCCTTATCACTTCAAGGGCGCCATTAGTGTCACGCTCAAGAGTGGGAGTGAGTGGGAGTGCATAGCAAGAACCTAATTGCCATTACTTTTAAGGCTTAGTTTTGTGTTAACGTTTTGAATGGGATCAGGGATGTGTCTTTGTAATGGCTGGTACATTAGCACTTCCCGGTGGCAGTGGCGTAGCTAAGGGCGTGCGGACCGCACCGGGTGTCACCAAGCCGTAGCTACGCCACCACCTGGTGGTCTTCCCTCAAGTTACCTACAAGTTTGACACAACATTAGTTCCTCACACCTTCTTAACACTACTCCAGCTAACAAAGCAACAATGATTTGGGCTCTCGATCACCTTACAAAGCTGACCCTTACGAACTGAATTTAATACTCTAATAATATGAGTTTAAAACAAACTTTCTTTGAACAATACTTTTTCAAAAAGACATTTTCCTATAAAAGATCAACAAATTAGATGACATTAAATGTCATCTCTCGATGTGCCCCTTTTATGACATCAAATGTCATCTCTCGATGTGCCCCTGTTATGACATCAGATGTCATCTCTCGATGTGCCCCTGTTATGACGTCAGATGTCATCTCTCGATGTGCCCCTGTTATGACATCAGATGTCATCTCTCGATGTGCCCCTGTTAAATTAAACAGTCCCTGAAAACACAGTTTTTCGCATAAATCTTTTATCACATGTAACATATAAATATATGTATAAACCGCACATATTTTCACGCCCCTCCACTATGGTATTATTTTGAGTAGCCCCCCCCCCGCCCCCCCCCCGGGGCCGCGCTTCTACGCAGCAGATTTAGTTCACCAAACAATTTCAGAAAATTAAAAGAAAAGCTTGTGCACCAAACGCTCTTGCGATTATATATATATTAATTGGTTTTTTTTTGGGTAGCCCCCCCCCCCCCCCCCCCCCCGGGGCCGCGCTTCTACGCAGCAGATTTAGTTCACCAAACAATTTCAGAAAATTAAAAGAAAAGCTTGTGCACCAAACGCTCTTGCGATTATATATATATTAAAAAAAAGGATATTATATTGCACAGTTTCGGGAATTTCTTGTTATCTTCTCCTTGAAAAACAAAACAAAAACGAATTTTGGAGGGTTGGGGCTAAAAAATTGATGGGATGTGTTGTCATCGGCTTGGAGTTTGTGTCCCAAGTTTCAGCTCGAAACGTTGACGGGAAGTGGGTTAATTAGCCGCCCCAAGAGTTTGCCAGTATGTCACCCAGCCACTCACGAACAAAAGCGAAGTTAATAATAAAAGGATTTAAAAACTGCAAGTCCTCATAATTCAATTTGAACAATTTCACAATCTTATGTCATTGAAAAACGTGCCCCCCCCCTTTTTTTTTTTCAGTGGATCAAAACAAAGCCTAACTCAGACTCTACAATCCATTGGGAAATTTGGGGTTGAGCAGAGATATATTTTTTACGGTATCACAGGTTATCTAAGAAACAAGTCGTCTCAATCTTTAAGAATGACCAGATTTGCGATAGATTCTACGGCGAGACCGTTAAGACCAACCCTACCATTGATGAAGATCTAGCCCGGCACTGAGTTGGGGGCAAACCTTGCGCAGAACTTTTCAGATAGACGAGCAGTTACTGCGTATTATGCAATCAATAACTAAAATAATTGATTTCAAAACCAGGACTGTGCTGATCAAGTGTTTTCATGAAACAAACTGAGCAGATTGTGAAACGTGTCTGTTGCCTTTCGTGTTTCTTATAACAATACTGACTGAATGTTTGATAGAAAATACTGAGGGAATGTTTGATAGAACAATTCTTACTGACTGTTTGATATAACAGTAATGTCTGAAAGCTTGATATAACAGTACTGACTGAATTTTTTTTATAGAACAATACTGAATGAATGTTTGTTAGAACAATTCTGAGTGAATGTTTGTTAGAGCAATTCTGGGTGAATGTTTGATAGAACAATTCTGAGGGAATGATTGATAGAACAATATGGAGTGAATGTTTATTCGTAAGTTTTTTTAAGGCTTATATTATTTCCCCCACGAATTATTTGAAGTTCGGAACTTTACGATACATTTGTTGGTGGTTTGTGGATGTTTTTTTTTGTTTATTCCGTTTTTTGTTTTCATTTAAGAGCAGTTGTTTATTAGCTTTGTGAGCAGTTGTTTGGCAGCTTGTGAGCAGTTGTTTATTAACTTGTGAGCAGTTTTGCAATATGTTGGAAGCGAACCCTTGTGTGGAGCGATGTGCAAGATTACATGACTTAGATGATCTATAGAGACAAAGGTTTACAAAAAGGACAAACTGTAGATATCACATGACCAAACGAAGGGGCTGATCTCTCATGTTGTATGTAACAAACAAAATAACATCCCGTGCCTGTCTGTCGGCGACACTGGAAGATGAGGTGGGCAGATTTACATCATCTTCTTATCAGCTGGTTGTTTGTTGCCGAAAAGTGCATCTGCATATAACTAATACGTCTCATTGGGAACTGGCGTCGGTGGGCCGTCGAGCGCAAGCTCATAATCTCCCCTGGCGGTCCAACCCTCCACACGGGCCAGACAGCTGGTTTCCCCGCCGCCAGACCGTGCGGTGGCACGCCGGGAAACTCCCCCCCCCCTGGCCTGGGGGATGTACGGTCGACCGACAACGCTGCGTTTAAAGCATTCGCAACCGACTTTCCCGTGGCTTGGGCGGGTTTGCTTCCACTCTGGAAGGAAGGTGTTGCGTTACCACCTCCCACCGCCTAGGGAGTCTTTCGGTCTCGGCGGAAAGCTGGGACGAAACGGTTGCCTCGGAGCGACTTTCGCACGGCCGCGTAGCTAGAATTATCGGCATGGCTTTTAACAACCACCCAAAACTCATTTCCATCAACGGTCAACAAGTCATAATGTTACGACGTTGCTACTCCCGTTGCGTTAGGAGGCATGCGGTCGGCCGGGCTTTTTTGCTTCTGAAGAAAAGTACCTCCCTACTAGTCCGCCACGCCACGAAGAGGCAAACCCCATATGGACAACCCCAAGTTTCCTCGGAGACGCTCCGCATGCGCAGAACTAAATTTTAAGCGATTATATTTTTAGTGATTGAAGTTTGTTTACAATTGTAATCTAAAATATCCCTCTCCTTGTTGGCATTTGACCCATTGGTCTGTGAGTGTAACGTGACCTCAAATATCCCTCTCCTTGTTGGCATGTGACCTAACTCTCAATGTGTGTGAAGTGACATCAAATATCCCTCTCCTTGTTGGCATGTGATCTATTGATTAATGAGTGTGACGGGATCCCAAATATCCCTCTCCTTGTTGCCATATGATCTATTGATTAATGAGTGTGACGGGATCCCAAATATCCCTCTCCTTGTTGCCATATGACCTATTGATTAATGAGTGTGACGGGATCCCAAATACCCCTCTCCTTGTTGCCATATGACCTATTGATTAATGAGTGTGACGGGATCCCAAATATCCCTCTCCTTGTTGCCATATGACCTATTGATTAATGAGTGTGACGGGATCCCAAATATCCCTCTCCTAGTAGGGATGTGACTCATTGGTCAGTGAGTGTGACGTGACCTCAAATATTTCTCTCCTCGTTGCCATGCAACCTATTAACCAATGTGTGTGACGTGACCTCAAATATCCCTCTCCTTGTTGGCATGTGACCTAACTCTCAATGTGTGTGACGTGACCTCAAATATTCCCTCTCCTTGTTGGCATGTGACCTGTTGGTTAATAAGTGTGACGGGATTCCAAACATCCCTCTCCTCGTTGCCATGCGACCTATTGGCCAATGTGTGTGACGTGACCTCAAATATCCCTCTCCTTGTTGCCATGTGACCTATTTTTCATTGGGACATGAACATTCCTCTAAATGGCTTGAGAGTTAAGCAGCTTGCCTCAACTTTAAAACAATTGTATCCCCATACAGTTGTATTTTACCGTGCTTAGGACGGTAACGACCCCCCACCCCTATAAATCCTCAGTCTCTACTAAAGTATTTTTAACAAAATGAAGATCGAAAGCCTCATTTTGAACGCTGCAATATTAACGCAACTTTAATAGACGCTGGTTCAATCCTTGCTGTTGAGAAATGGGAAAAATTCAATTTTTACACCAGCCCACGCTCTCTATATGCTGTGTGAAACTAAGTATATTTATTATATACATTTCTCTCAGTGGTTCCCAACATTTTTGACTCACAGATCCATTTGTTTAGAATCGGTTTCTTTGGGGGAGCCCCTTAGGGATACTAAGTCTTGACCGCTTAACACTGTCGGCCAATAGAGCGTTAGGGGTCATCAAAAAACGGGCTATCGTCTGCACGGATTTGTATCAAACGTGTCGACGCCTTTCCTCCAGACAGCCCCCTTACGTCACTGCGCAGCAGGCGTGAGTGATGATGAATCCCCCCCCCAACCTTAATTTATCTTATGTACACACATTAGTTTGAAGAGTTTACTTTCAAGTTGACGTAATTGTGTCTAAATATAGTTTATTATTTTTATAGTGAAGACACAACTCGGCCGTCACAAAGAGGTCAATGTTACAGTTAACCCACAAAGGAATCGCTAAAAAAGTCCCAATGCCATGGCCAAGAAAACTCACGGTAAATCCAAATTGACTAGCCAGGCTCTATTTTTGTTGGGCTGGTGTTTCAAGGATCAGAAAATGCTCTAGAAACTTCTCAAATGTTCAGTTCCGAGAAATCACTCAGACATACATTTAACTTAGTACGTGTTCGTTCTGAATATAGTTTCAAGTTCTCATTTTGATATTGCTTTTGATTCTTCCTATTTTTAATTTAAATCAATTTTTAAATTTATTTTATTAACCGCTGCGGCCTCGGAGTCACCTGAGAATGAACGCAGAACCCTTGGGGGTTACACGGGGCACTGTCTGGGAACCACTGATCTAGCTTATACAAACAACTCTATGAAGTCTTTATTTTAAAACATGTAGAAAACTTAGACGCCTGGGATCAACCGCTAAATAAACTAGCTATTGTTGTATCGTCCAAGCGTGTGATTTCTCCACAGTAATAAATACAGCAGTGAAATACAGAGGGTAAGATCAATGAAAGACGCATGGAAATAGAGAAATTTCGGGGAAAAAAGGATTCAAACTGTTGTGTGATACAATCGCTTTTTTTTTAAAGCCTTGAGCCAGCGCACGCTATTACAAAGTTCACGTGAGATAATTGTCGCCAGCGTTCACTTAATCCCGTGTTAATCCCATCTTTGCAACGGCACGAAGAAAAGGATTAAAGGCATAAAAAAGACATAACACATACGGCTACACTGAAATCGTCTGCCATCAAGCCTGCTGTTGATAGAGCCTTAGGGCCATCATTTTTTAAAAGTTTCCTTCGACCTCCTAAGCGCATCTACCCACGCACCCAACCCGACATTGTCATTAGCTCACCACACACACATTTCCGATACAAATGCGAACCAATTTTGCCATTATATATCTTTTATATACTTGTGCATTTCTTAGGAATAATATAATATTAAACTAAAATCATCATTTATTGAAAGACGGAATAACTTTTATATATTGCTAACAATTTACTTCAGGTGTCAATACATATTTAAATTGGAGCAGTTATGGAAATTCAAAACTAATACACAACTAATACATAACTTGTAATTAACAAATACAGATTTGGCTTACACAGAGAAGGGAGCAGGAGGAGGTATAAGATTGTACAAACAGACAATCAAGCGTCTACAGGGGGTCCTTCTGTTCAACATCAAACGCAGGTTTATACTTGCCAGATATGGCTTAGTTCAATCGGTCACTTGTTGATTTATTCACAACTCGAGTAATCACACAACATGTATGTGTCAAACACAGAGGTCCAAACACAGTTGTTTCAAGGGTTGGTATAAAGCAGTGGCTCTCAACCTTCCCAATGCCGCGACCCTTTAGTACAATTCCTCATTTTGTGGGACCCCACAAAACACACAATTATTTTTGTTGGTTCTTCATCACTGTAGAGTGTTTTTTTAAAAATAGTCTTAGGTGACCCCTGTGGAAGGGTCGTTCAAATCCGAAAGGGGTCGCAACCCACATGCTGAGAACGCTGATTTAAAATAAATAAATGCAGTCCGAAGTTGAAGTTTTAACAAAAATCAAATGTTTGTTTTCATTTGTTTTGTTACTATTTAAAAAAAAATAGATTAACCAATTTTATTTGGTGATATACCAAAGACAGCCTTCACCGAGATTCTTCCTAGATAATCAAACCTGTATTGACACAAGCTCGCCGCACGTTTATTGGTGGAACTACGGTATGGCGTCGCCCTATTTTACGGTAAAACTCTCTCCATTTGTCCCCGCAGCACAGTATTTGAGAAGCTCGTCCTTCCTGTTGTTAAGACATAAAATCCCGCCATTTTTTTCTAGCAGCCTTTACTTCCGTTCATCGGTTTTATTTCCAAAGAGATTGTTCTTTTTTTTTTTCAAAATGGCGGCTACAAGGAAGTTAAAAAACAACAAACAACACAAACATATTCTGTCTGATATTCTATGACCTAAAACGTGTAGTCATATTTACACAAACTTCTTCAAGTATGAACATTTCAAAGACGTCATTTCTGACGGGAAATCTGCAAAGTTCTTTAGTACTAGGTATAGCTCGCCAAACATTGGACACAGCAATGCGAGAATGTCCCATCTACTTGTTATAGCTCGCCAAACATTGGCCACAGCAATGCGTGAATGTCCCATCTACTTGTTATAGCTCGCCAAACATTGGCCACAGCAATGCGTGAATGTCCCATCTACTTGTTATAGCTCGCCAAACATTGGCCACAGCAATGCGTGAATGTCCCATCTACTTGTTATAGCTCGCCAAACATTGGCCAGAGCAATACGTGAATGTCCCATCTACTTGTTATAGCTCGCCAAACATTGGCCACAGCAATGCGTGAATGTCCCATCTGCTTGTTATAGCTCGCCAAACATTGGCCACAGGAATGCGTGAATATCCCATCTACTTGTTATAGCTCGCCAAACATTGGCCACAGCAATGCGTGAATGTCCCATCTACTTGTTATAGCTCGCCAAACAATGGCCACAGCAATGCGTGAATGTCCCATCTACTTGTTATAGCTCGCCAAACATTGGCCACAGCAATGCGTGAAATTCCCATATACTTAAGTTACTTGACAAAACATGAACTCAAGTAACGCACATTTAAGAATTCCAATTTTTGCTTACCTCGCACCCCCCTCCCCAATGATTACGTTATTGCACGCTTTTTATTTCACGCCCATGAAATGCATTAATATTCTGATTCCCAACAACTTTTAAACCTTATATTCATTATACCAGTTTTAAATTGAGACGATTTCACTTTCCCAAAAGAAAATATTACGCACCAAACGCAGTTGCGTTATAAAAAAAAATCATTTAGCGTAGTTGTCGTGTTATATTTTGCGGAAATGGAAGCAGCCACACCACAAGCCAAATTTATATTTTAAGAGATTGTCTGCGACAAAGGCGGGAATAAAATAAAGTTCAAAGCCCGGCCATTACACTGTAAGCACGCAATAGACGTTTTGAAATATTTCTATCGTCCCAACACTTGAGCAACGACAGACTTGCGCCTGCTGGCATTACTTCAGCTTAGGTTTCATCCATCCGTTAGAAAGATCAACGAGATCATATTCCAGGACGTATTGAGTGCGTTTGAAGTTAACTGGAACATCCCACCTGCAACCCGCTAATGTTGTTATCTAGTTGACATATGAAAACAGGTAAACATCCTACGGTAAATACACCGTTATGTATAGAGTACACGAAAATCCATAACTCTGATCCCTACTAGTCTCACAAATTGAAAGTCTAGTCAAGAGATGGTTAACATGAATACATTATTTATCCAAGCTCTTTGCTGCTTCAATGTAGGTTCTATATTTGTTAAATGAATGTTCTATCTTGTTTCAATGTATGTTCTATGTTGGTTCAATGTAACTTCTATGTTGGTTCAAAGTATCTTCTATGTTGGTTCAATGTATGTACTATGTTGGTACAATGGCTGTTGTATGTTGGTTCAATGTATGTTCTATGTTGGTACAATGACTGTTGTATATTTGTTCAATGTATGTTCTATGTTGGTTGAATCTATGCTCTGTCTTGACACTTCATTATTAAACGATTTGTGGAGAAAATCACAAGATGTGCAGGATAATATTCATTTCAACTTGCAGCTGTAATGAACAAGTGTAATGAACAAGTGCAAGTGAAATGAACAAGTGAAAGTGTAAACAACAAGTTCAAGTGTAATGAACAAGTACAAGTGAAATGAACAAGTACAAGTGTAATGAAAAAATTCAAGTGTAATAAAAAAAAAGAACAAGTGAAATAAACAAGTACAAGTGTATTGGACAAGTACATGCTTAATGAAAATGTAACTTGTAATAAACAAGTACAAATGTATTGAAAATTACATATGCAATTAGCCAAAAACATATTAACGAATCAGTACAGAAGAAATGAGCAAGTCAGGTGTAATGAGCAAGTCAGGTGTAATGAGCAAGTATTAATGTAATGAACAAATACTGAAGTAATCAAGAAATACCGATGTAATAAACATGTACATATGTAATGTGCAAGTACAAGAATAAGCTTAGATATACTAAACAAGTGCTAGGTACTGAACAAATACAAGTGTAATGAAAAGGTACATATGTAATAAGCAGGTAGAGATGCAATGAACAGGCAAGATGTAATGAATAACGATATAACTAACCAGTGTGATGCAGAGGCGTAGCGAGGGGGGGGACAGATGTCCCCGGGCGCCAGCTAGTTAGGGGCGCCAAAATGTGCTTTGATATTATGTTATTGATGAAAATAATGGGTTTGAGAGTTGAAAAAAAGAAAAAGGGCGCATTAAAATGGATCTTGCCCCCCGGGCGCCAAACACCCTCGCTGCGCCTCTGGTGTGATGTAATGAATATGTTTTAGATGTAATGAACAAGTACCGATGTATACGTACAGTGACGTTTTCCCGCATGCACAGGGATATTTTTTGACCTCTGAACTCACGAGACAAAAACCTTGACCCACTGACCTGAGTTTATTTATAGCAGTTTCCGTTGAGTCCACGTGATTAAGGCGCGCCCTTTTCCCCAAGGCCGGGTTGATCTTCTCGACGTACGTCTCCACGGCGCTGGTCGCAATGACCGCTATGCGCTTGGTCAGCAACTGGTCAAGTCGAAGAGAAATTGATGGATCAAACAATATCAAACATGGCTGATCGCCATACGCTTGTTCAGCAACTGGTCAAGTCAAACAGAATTTGATGGATCCAACAAAACAAAAAATGGCTTGCCTACTGTGAGCATTGATTGAAACCGTCGTCTTTTGTAATCATGAATAAAGTTGATCTGAATGACCGAAAAAAAAAAAAAAAAAGGAACAACAACCCAATTTACTTCATATGGCTTGCCTATTGTGAGCATTGATTGAAACCGTCGTCTTTTGTAATCATGAAAAAAGTTAATCTGAAAAACCGAAAAAAAAAAAAAAAAAGGAACAACAACCCAATTTACTTCATTGGAATATTTGAAATTGGAATAAATCCCTTCTGTTAAACCACTCTGTTTTCCGTGTGCTAAACTGCACCACCTAAGGCTAAAAGGCCGTCAGCTCTAAATATTTAATGATTCTATTCCCCGTATTCGATAGGATGTTTCACTCTGGAATTATTTAATGTAGTTTATCAATCGATGCTTGACGTGCACGCATCTGCGTCCGTATAGAGACACCTCACAACTCCTGTTCACCCTTAACATTGCACTTGAACGGTGCAAAACCCAAAGAAGGTTTAATGTACTGTAAATATTATCTTAGACCTATTTGGTGGCATGCACCTGATGGAGGGAATGTGCAATCTTCTAATGACGGGCTTTAATAATTAAAAAACCCGTAAAAACAAAGCCCCCCCCCCGTATTAATGCTTTATAATCATTTTTGTGCGACTGGGTGATGGCGACAGCTCTTCAGAAATAATTGCATCATATTTCCTTTATTTTCCCCCTGAAAAACATAATTTTTTTTTTGGGGGGGGCGGGGGGGGGGAGTGGGGGTGTGGAGGTGGGAGGTGGGGGTGTGGAGGTGGGGCAGAACATTTGAAAGAACGGGTTGTCATCGGCCGTGTGCCAAGTTTTCAACTCGATAGGATGACGGAAAGTGGATCATTTAACTTTTCGAAGATGTAGCCACAACCGCAGGAGGAAAGAGAGAAAGACACGAACACAAGCGAAGTTAATGTAAAGGATTTAAAACTAACAAAACATGACGTCACTCACTATTTACCATCTAACAAAACATGACGTCACTCACTATTTACCATCTAACAAAACATGACGTCACTCACTATTTACCATCTAACAAAACATGACGTCACTCACTATTTACCATCTAACAAAACATGACGTCACTCACTATTTACCATTGCTGACAAAACATGACGTCACTCACTATTTACCATTGCTGACTCAATTTAAAAAAAAAATCACGGAAACAAAAATAGTTGTAATTTAAAATCTTTGAGGAAAATCCATTTTAATCGAATTTAATATCGATTTAGAATGTTGTTTGATGGCTTATCATTGGCTGCAACGGCAGCTGATGTGTGCAGGAATTTGACGGTAATCAATAACAACGAGGAGCTTGAAGGCAGGAACACGCTAAAATTGTGTGAATAGAGTTGTTAGTCTCTAATCTATGTGGGCCATCTTTTGGAAACACAGTTGAAATTTAAACAAAGAACAACGTGGACCCTCTTTTGGTATAATTATTTAAACAAAAAAAGGGCGATGGACTTCGATTTAAACTTTGACATTTCGTAGATTGACCAGATGCTCTGTTTACTTAGATTGACTAGATGCTCCGTTTACTTAGATTGACTAGATGCTCTGTTTACTTAGATTGACTAGATGCTCTGTTTACTTAGATTGACTAGATGCTCTGTTTACTTAGATTGACTAGATGCTCTGTTTACTTAGATTGACTAGATGCTCTGTTTACTTAGATTGACTAGATGCTCTGTTTACTTAGATTGACTAGATGCTCTGTTTACTTAGATTGACTAGATGCTCTGTTTACTTAGATTGACTAGATGCTCTGTTTACTTAGATTGACTAGATGCTCTGTTTACTTAGATTGACTAGATGCTCTGTTTACTTAGATTGACTAGATGCTCTGTTTACTTAATTGACTAGATGCTCTGTTTACTTAGATTGACTAGATGCTCTGTTTACTTAGATTGACTAGATGCTCTGTTTACTTACGTCTGGGTCAAAGATACTCTTGACGGTTGACACGGCAGATTGGCCAGCGAGATAAGCTGCCAGATTGGCCGTGTAGCTTGTCATTATAAAAATAGCCAATCCGGCCCAAACATTCTGGATGACTTTTCCTGGCCAACTTTTGGGGGCCTGCGTGAGGGAAAAAAAAAAGCAAGGAAAAAAAAATCGAGATATGAATGATGTTAAATTTGGCCAATGGACTGAATTGAAATGATACCCATCAAGTGAAGACAAGCATGGATGCACATGGCTAGCAAGTTCTCTGGGACAAATAGGATGTGTCATGGTGGGGTGCGCTTCTCCCCCCCCCCCGGCAATGAAAAGGGATACACAGAGTGAGATTGATCTCCCCTCCTTCTCTTTTCAACAGAAATTAATGACCCCCAATCGGTGGTTTTTTGGGGTGGGGGGCACTTTTCTAATGTGAAAAATGTTATAAGGCTGATTTCTATCGACTCACTGTGTTGAAAAGATGCAAGTTATAAATGTAAATAAAATTGAAACAAATCCACATAGCACTTTTGGAGACGACTAGGATCTCCTTAACCTATTTTGTGATGAATCAGTTTGCATAGAACTTAACTATCGCAGACCATTCTCTTTCGATTTTTTTTGTACTGTTACATTCTCCAACAGCATTTGATCATGTAGTTAGTTTTGGAAAGTCCAGTAATAAATTCAAAGCTAATTTTTGGTTCAGTAACACAAAAAATAAAGAAATGATTTTCCCTTTCTGTAGGGCAAGTAGACGCATTCACCAAACTTGAAGATCAAATCGATTATGCTTTCAGAATTAAAGTATCGATTACTTTACGGGATTAGGCGATAATTATTAAACGATTCCATATTTACAAAGATTAACGAGATACGATACGTCGATCCGTGTCTTATTTATAAAAGAATATCAACCGACATAAAACGGCATTTGATTGAACGTGACGTCATTTCCTTCAATGAATATACAACTATTGATTGATTTAGATCAGGCCTGCACCACTCAAAATGTAAGGCGGCCGTAATACTTTATGAAAAAATTGTGCAGGCCGAAAGAAAATAGGACAGGGGAAAAAGCTATTTAGAAAATAATAATATAAAAGAATATTTCGTTGCTTCGTGGGCCGAAAAGTGGGTGCTGGCGGGCCGTGGGCCGCATGTTGTGCAGGCCTGATTAAAACCAATTTTAAAAATCACCTTTTTTTCATGCTCTTATCAGTTTGAGATGAAATAAATGTGGGCTTATGACGTCGGACTGTTTGAGATGAAATAAATGTGGGCTTATGTCGTCGGACTGTTTGAGATGAAATAAATGTGGGCTTATGACGTCGGACTGTTTGAGATGAAATAAATGTGGGCTTATGACGTGGGACTGTTTGAGATGAAATAAATGTGGGCTTATGACGTCGGACTGTTTGAGATGAAATAAATGTGGGCTTATGACGTCGGACTGTTTGAGATGAAATAAATGTGGGCTTATGACGTCGGACTGTTTGAGATGAAATAAATGTGGGCTTATGACGTCGGACTGTTTGAGATGAAATAAATGTGGGCTTATGACGTCGGACTGTTTGAGATGAAATAAATGTGGGCTTATGACGTCGGACTGTTTGAGATGAAATAAATGTGGGCTTATGACGTCGGACTGTTTGAGATGAAATAAATGTGGGCTTATGACGTCGGACTGTTTGAGATGAAATAAATGTGGGCTTATGACGTCGGACTGTTTGAGATGAAATAAATGTGGGCTTATGACGTCGGACTGTTTGAGATGAAATAAATGTGGGCTTATGACGTCGGACTGTTTGAGATGAAATAAATGTGGGCTTATGACGTCGGACTGTTTGAGATGAAATAAATGTGGGCTTATGACGTCGGACTGTTTGAGATGAAATAAATGTGGGCTTATGACGTCGGACTGTTTGAGATGAAATAAATGTGGGCTTATGACGTCGGACTGTTTGAGATGAAATAAATGTGGGCTTATGACGTCGGACTGTTTGAGATGAAATAAATGTGGGCTTATGACGTCGGACTGTTTGAGATGAAATAAATGTGGGCTTATGACGTCGGACTGTTTGAGATGAAATAAATGTGGGCTTATGACGTCGGACTGTTTGAGATGAAATAAATGTGGGCTTATGACGTCGGACTGTTTGAGATGAAATAAATGTGGGCTTATGACGTCGGACTGTTTGAGATGAAATAAATGTGGGCTTATGACGTCGGACTGTTTGAGATGAAATAAATGTGGGCTTATGACGTCGGACTGTTTGAGATGAAATAAATGTGGGCTTATGACGTCGGACTGTTTGTGATGAAATAAATGTGGGCTTATGACGTGAGACTGTTTGAGATGAAATAAATGTGGGCTTATGACGTCGGACTGTTTGAGATGAAATAAATTTGGGCTTATGACGTGATACTGGGGTTAGGAAGAACGTCAAGTACACGCGTACATCTATGCATCTCTTATTTCACTAACTTACAAAAGTAAAGAGATATTTAAGTGAACCATTAAACAATAATACACACACAGATACCGGCTCACCCGCGCAAGTGCTGGGCAAGGGAGAAGCATGGACAAAGGAAACAGGTCCTGAACCGGTTTGATTAGATTCGCAGACAGACCCAGACTGAATTATCTAATTGGTCAAAATGGCGTGGACCAATAATCCAGCCAATAAGGAGATGAGGTATTAATGAAGTTATTTGTTTATTGAATGAAGGAAAAAAAAACGAATTGGATTGCATTAATTGAAATAAATCTCACGTCATATCACATCATCAATGCTGGTCTCATTAGAAATATGGTCTCTTATTGAATTCATATACCATTAACAGTCTGGTCTCTTTAGAAATATGGTCTCTTATTGAATTCATATAGCATAAACAGGTGGGTCAGGTGTGATTCTGTTGCGCTATGAATGATTGTGTTTGCAGAGGAAGCCATTCAACCGGAACGCTCATTTGTCTTGTTTTGTTATTGAAGCTGTCACGTGTGCAGTCACGAATAACATGACACAGAGTCAAGTTAAATGGAAATGGAAAGGATAACATTTTAAGTCAACATCCAGCATGTACAATATTTGCGTAAACATCAATTGTTATTGTTTAATCTTGACATCGGCAACATCAATACTTTGAGCGTGGTCATTCATCTCGATCACTGGTTCTCAAACTTCCCAATGCCGCTACCCCTTAAGACAGTTCCTCACGTTGTGGTGATCCCCCGAACATACAATTATTTTCGTTTGTACTTCATAAATATGTGTTTTCCGATGGTCTTAGGAGACCTTTGTGAAAGGGTTGTTCGACCCCCAAAGGGGGAGCGACCAATAGGTTGAGAACCGCTGATCTAGATAAACCTTGTATAAATATGTCAAGAATGTATTATTTGAAACTTGAGCTCTTATAATACGCTACACTACTCTAGGGAATTGATTAACATTTCAACAGCAACATTATCAACGATGTCATCAAATTCTTACACCAAATGAAAATCCCTGTTAAAAAAATGTTATTTTCAACATATGGACGACATACTCTCAAACATATCGAGGACATACAGTATTTCTCTTTTAATGGGTCCCCTGTACCACGCAACTGCCTACCTTTATGTTGATGGTGTGTCCCGTCAACAGCACCATGACCATCAGTAGACCGGACCCCAGACCGTAGTTCTTGGTTCTCTTGCGGCCCCGAGGGTTGAGCCCGAAAGGACTGCGCCACTCCAGGAAAGCCGTAGCGATACCAGCCACGATAGAGCTAAGCATGATGCACAGCCAGACCTTGAGGCAACAGACAGAAGTTACAGCGCTATGAACTAAGTTATAAGGCAAAAAATAGGTTTGAGAGTGCGATGGCGTCATAGAGAGGGAAGATGGCGAATACAGGAAAAAGGATATGACGTGATTTTCCGTTGTTATTTAACATTTGAAATAAAGATAGCTAGATATTCCCTCCAAACAGTGGTGACGGCAATGCGTGAACTTCCCATCTACTAAAAGTTACTTGACAAAACATAAGCTCAAGTAATACACATTTAAGAATCCCCATTTTTGCTACAGTCCTTCCCGCAACAATACGTACCTGCACACTTTTTATTTCACGCCCATGACCTACATTAAATATTCTGATGTACCAAACACTTTTAAACCGAAACTTTTTTTTACCATACTTAAATTGAGACGATTTCATTTTCCGAAAAGAAAATATTACGCTCCAAACGCAGTTGCCCTATATTTATTTATATCTAGATATCGGGAATTATATTTTACGCGCTATTGAACTCATTATTGAACCATACTTTCTTTCAAACTTTTAGAATTATTTGTAATATACTCTCAATACCATATTCGCTGATTAGGAAGCAGTCTATTAGGAAGCAGTCTATTAGGAAGCAGTCTATTAGGAGGCAGTCTATTAGGAGGCAGTCTATTAGGAGGCAGTCTATTAGGAAGCAGTCTATTAGGAAGCAGTCTATTAGGAAGCAGTCTATTAGGAGGCAGTCTATTAGGAGGCAGTCTATTAGGAGGCAGTCTATTAGGAGGCAGTCTATTAGGAAGCAGTCTATTAGGAGGCAGTCTATTAGGAAGCAGTCTATTAGGAAGCAGTCTATTAGGAAGCAGTCTACTAGGAGGCAGTCCACGAGTCACACCAGAAGTGTAATATATATCAGAGAGGATGTGAACAGTAAAATACAACTCTAAAAGACACAGTTTTGGGTAACCCCTTTATGTGCACTTTTTTTAACGTATGAAATTTTACGCGATTGATCATTTATTAAGAAGCTTTTCTGTAAACGGCAAACTTCTGGTCAAACTTCTGGTCAAACTCCTGGTCAAACTTCTGGTCAAACTTCTGGTCAAACTTCTGGTCAAACTTCTGGTCAAACTTCTGGTCAAACTTCTGGTCAAACTTCTGGTCAAACTTCTGATCAAACTTCTGGTCAAACTTCTGGTCAAACTTCTGGTCAAACTTCTGGTCAAACTTCTGGTCAAGCTTCTGGTCAAACTTCTGGTCAAACTTCTGGTCAAACTTCTGGTCAAACTTCTGGTCAAACTTCTGTTCAAACTTCTGGCCAAACTTCTGGTCAAAACGCGTTTCATGGTTTCTTACTTTTCCCTTTCAAAAATACATTTTATTGCATGCCCAAATACGTCACAAACACAAAGCACATAGCAGCAACTACACAATAAATCTCCACACCAAAACACTCACCCATTTAACAAAGCATTAACCCCCCCCCCCAAGGAAAATCTTATTGGAAATAAGGTAGAAGATGTTGCCATCTGAAACGAGTCTGAGCCAAGTTTCAGCTCAACAGCTTGACCAGAACAGGGTCTTTTTGATTGGTTGTTATTGGACATAGACTAAAGTACCCAATGTTGTTATTGGACAGAGACTAAAGTACCCAATGTTGTTATTGGACAGAGACTAAAGTACCCAATGTGGTTATTGGATAGAGACTAAAGTACCCAATGTTGTTATTGGACAGAGACTAAAGTACCCAATGTTGTTATTGGACAGAGACTAAAGTACCCAATGTTGTTATTGGACAGAGACTAAAGTACCCAATGTTGTTATTGGACACTCACAGAAAGCCGCGTACCGACCTGGCCCGAAAAGGGACTCATGAAGGCCCAGATGGACACGTAGTTACCTCCCTCACTCGTCACGAGGGAGAACTCGTTTTGGTAAAAGGGCTCCGTGAAGTCCAGCACCGTCATGCGCTCTGATGTCATGCTGAAGGCGCCCGCGATGATGTCCGCCGTGCCGTCGATGACGTCACCAACCATCCCCGTCCAGTTGCCGTCCTTGTAGGTGCCGTAGTTGGTGTCGTTGACAAAATATACAACGTACCTGGACGTGTCAATTTAATAGGCATGGGTTAAAAACGATATGCATGGGTTAAAAACGATATGCATGGGTTAAAATGATACGTATGGGTTAAAATGATATATATGATTTAAATGATATACATGGGTTAAAACGATTTGCATGGGTTAAAAACGATATACATGGGTTAAATGATATACATGGGTTAAAAACGATATGCCATGGTTAAAAACGACATACATGGGTTAAAATGCTATACATGGATTAAAAACGATATGCATGGGTTAAAACGATATACAAGAGTTAAAAAAGCTATACATGGGTTAAAAATGATATACATGGGTTAAAAACGATATGCATGGGTTAAAACGATATACATGGGTTAAAAAGGCTATACATGGGTTATAGCAAGAGAAACAGATTAAACGGAAGAAGATTCGCTTCCTAATTAGAAGTAATAATCAAACTCAACACAAGTAATAATCAAACTCCACACTATAATAAAGCCATCTAATAATTCACAAGTATAAAATAAGGAAATGTTTTCTTAAATCTAAGAAGCACATCAATTTATAATTTGAGACACGTGAATAAAGTGGCTTAAATTTAATTTCAATATTTTTTTAAAAACAACTAAACTTAAAATTCAATAAAACTAACTATTAAACTCTACAAAAATAATTTTGAAAGGTTTATTAATTAAAAACACTAAAAAACACAAAGTGTCATACTTGAAGTTCAGATTTCTGGACAGAGAATCCAATATTTCGAGGATCATCCCCTTACAGCAGTGAACTGTGTAGAGTTGACCTATGCCCAACATCTCAGACTGGAAGTCATCTACCACAGCAGCTAGCAGAGTTTGAGAACTGTTGTCCACCTGAAGGTCACGTGATGAAATGAACGTCTGAGATCAGTGTGTCACAGTGTGACATGGAATGACAGTGAAACAACCAGAATTTTTGATGTAGGGCAACAATTTGACACAACAGAAAAAAATACTTTAATATTCTCATTTAATGAATCAGGAATCCAGGAATGAATTAAATATTTATAACCCAATCGATTAACCAGTCGCTCATTGAGTCACTTTTTCATTAATCAACAGATGTTACAATAAGTTAATTGTTTTGGTTGAAATAATTAGTAAGACAACCATACAATTCAATAATCAGTCAGGCAACCACAAAATGCAATAATCAGTCAGGCAACCACACAATGAAATAATCAGTCATGAAATCAATCAATAAAATAATCAGTCAGACAAAGAAGCAATGAAAATATCAGTCAGACAACCATCCACCATGAAATAATCAGTCATGAAACCACTCAATGAAATAATCAGTCAGACAAACAAGCAATGAAAATATCAGTAAGACAATCATCCACAATAAAAAAAAAATCAGTCAGACAATCATCCACAATGAAATAATAAGTCAGACCATCATCCACAATGAAATAATAAGTCAGACCATCATCCACAATGAAATAATAATCAATCAGATAACCACACAATGATATAATCAGTTAGACAACCACCCAATAAAATAATCAGGCAGACAACCACACAATGAAATAATCAGCTAGACAATCACTCAATGAAATAATCAATCAGATAACCACACAATGATATAATCAGTCAGACAACTACATAATGAAATGTGTAAATAATCAAACAATGATTAAAAGAATCAGACAATGAATGATATAATTGACATTACTCCACCAATACAAGATACCGAATAACAAGAAATGAACGCCATATGTTTATGACATAAACGTCTCATAATGTGTTGTGACTGTGAAGTCATGGTGGCAGTATGTGTTGTGATGTCATGGTGACAGTATATGTTGTGACTGTGGCGTCATGATGCCATTATGTGTTGTCACAGTGACGTCATGATGACAGTATTTGTTGTGACGTCATGGTGACAGTATGCGTTGTGACTGGGACACCGTCTCACCTTTAAACACGGCACGTCGACGAAGCAGTCCTCCTTCTTGGCCACCTTGTCCGTCACAAACACAAAGGGCTCTGCTGGGCGAGTCACGACCCTGTAAGTCTTAACTGAACTGGACGACGGCCCGTAGATGTTGTGTCCTGACGCCAGAGCAAACACGGACCTTATGTTTAGACATGCTTGGAAAATAACCGTAAACGTGCAAGCAATACAAAGGGGTCTTACGAATTTGAACCCAGTTTAACGATTGGGCCCCCACCCATGCTTTATTTCTTGTTAGAAACTCTAAACCAGTGGTTCTCACCCTTCCTAATGCAGCGACCCTTTAATACAGTTCCTCACGTTGGGGTGACCTCAAACCATAGAATTGTTGTCGTACATACATATGTTTCCAGATGGTTTAAGGCGACCCATGTGTAAGAGTCGTTCGAACCCCAAATGGGTCGTGTCCCACAGGTTGAGAACCGGTGCTCTTAGCCAAGAGAAAGTATTGACAAAATAATTACTAGATACTTAACTAACATGTTATGTTATCGTAAATTATTTTTACATTTACTTGCACACAAGAACGCCGGGGAGGACAGGTTGCGCCTGGCGCAAAGCATGAATAACGTTTAGCTTGCTCGTTTCATCAATATATTATTAACGATGCACACTTTCACGGATACATATTTTTTTCCTTGAGTGTATTAACAATTTCGGCGCCCCATGTTGGTGCCTGGCGCGGATGCCCACATTGCCCCTGTCGTGCAAAACTGTGCACACAAAAGGAAGCAGCCGCTGACTAGCGTCATCATTGGAAGTACCTGTCGCGTACCATAAATTGAGGACCTAACATATTTCCCTTGAGTATTGGGTGTAAATCGTTGTATATGCCCATAAGAAGGTGATGCGTTTTAACCTGGCCATAAGAAATTGATAAGATTGAACCGGGGCATAAGTCATTGATATGTTTGTACCTGGCTCTAAGACAGTGATGCGTTTGTACCTGGCCATAAGACAGTCCTGAGATCACGTCTGCCGCTGGCCGTGATGTAACCGACCTTGGCCCACATACGACTCCCCGAGTCGTCTGCTACAGTGTTGACAAGGTAGAAGGCCGGCCCCAGGTTTTGCCTCGCCTCGTCAAAGAACTCCTCCACATTGGCCCCCTTGATGTACACCTTCTCACTGTCATCCGTGGAGAGGTCATCATCACCATCACCGTCATCGTCTTCGTACGTGGAGTTTGTCCAGCAGCAAAGAGAAGCTTGCAAACATCTGAATTCATGAAGACACAAATACACTTGGTTGTGTCATACTGTAAGGAGGCAGTAACACGAAGGCGCAATTACCATTTGCATTATCACCAGAGTGGAACTATGGAGACAGTTCTTTATTTCAAGCTTTTACATTGTAAAGAATGATGTCTGATTTTGGTACCTGCATCGCTATACAAGGTTATGCATTGAGAACTTTCAAACGATAAAATTTAAAAAAAAAAAGATTTGACGTTTTAAGATCAGGGGCGTCATTATAGGTTTTTTTTTTCAAAAAGGGGGGTGGAGGGGCAAAAACCAAAACTTGGTCGGCTTGTTAAGTAGCTTCTTAATGGACGCGCCACAGTGTATAGCAATTTAAATAAAACCTGCAAATTCAGGTGGTGTGGGGCATTTTCCTGATCAGATTCCATTTTCCTTTTTTTTTTTGTTTAAATGAAATTGGGAAAATTGTTGTTGGAATCGATTATTGTTGCTTGGATGATGATACTGTTGAGAAATAGATTCTTAGAAAAATTTGATCGAGATTGTTCAGGATATTGAGATAAAACAATGGATTAAAAAAAAAAAAAACCAAAAGAATTTTAAAATTGACGCTTGACCTTTTGTTCCCTCAGTCAAGGTCTTTTCAAATGTAATCCAAGTCTTTTCAAATGTAATGCAGGTCTTTTCAAATGTAATGCAGGTCTTTTCAAATTTAATAAAAGGTTTTTTTTTTCAAATGTAATGCAAGGTTGTTTCAAACGTAATGCAAGGTCTTTTCAAATATAACACAAGGCCTTTTCAAATGTAATACCAGATCTTTTCAAATGTAATGCAATGTTTTTTCAAATGTAATACCACGTTTTTTTCAAACGTAATGCAAGGTTTTTTCAGATGTAATGCAATGTCTTTTCAAATGTATTTAAGGTATTTAAAAAAAATTAATACAAGGTCTTTTCAAATGTAATACAAGGTCTTTTCAAATGTAATACAAGGTTTTTTTTTCAAATATAAAGCAAGGTTGTTTCAAATGTAATGCAAGTTCTTTTCAAATATAATACAGGGTCTTTTCAAATATAATGCAATGTCTTTTCAAATGTAATGCAAGGTCTTTTCAAATGTAATGCACTTTTTTTCAAATGTAATGCAATGTCTTTTCGTCTAGCACCTAGGACCACCATAAACTGTTTCCGTCCAGCTTTATCTTTCCACTAAACATTGATGACGACATAGACAGTCCTCCCTTCTAACGTCTAGGCACTCATGCTAAATAATGGGACATCAGGGGTTAAAATCGTAAAATTTGTCTATCGTTTGAACAAAATGGATCACACCAATAACTGCGTCCTCAATCACATAGAGCAGTGGTTCCCAAACTTTTAAGTTTTGCGGACCGGCGAACAAGTTTCGAAATTTTACCAGGGACCGGTGCATGATTTATTTTTATACTTTTAGTCTATTTGACAATAAATATTTATGTTATAGGGACCGGCAGCGTTAGGCATGCGGACCGGTGAAGGTCAACGGACCGCCATTTGGGGACCACTGACATAGAGCAATAAACTTAAAAAAAAAAATGGAGCTCCCAAAAAGAAAACAACAACAAAAAAAACCCCAAACAAACAACAAAAATAAATACAACGGCAAGGAAATTACAAACAAACAAACATCAAACCAATGACACATTACCTTTGAAAATTAATTGCAAATAGTGAACTATATCTAAAGCCGGAAATGTCTCTTTGTATTCGACTCCGACCGGTCATGTCGTATGCAGCGTAAGGCACTAGCTGGTCGCTGCCCAGATCGTCACGGTCGTAGAGTGACGTCAGAGTGTCCAGGAGGTGATGGAATGCTTTGACCATGACGTCTTTAACACCACCGAGCCAGAAGCTTTCGATGGCCAGCAGTCCTTCCGGTAGTTGCGTGATCACATCCGGGTCACGGCTGGTGGGGAAAATTATTTAAAGTTAACAACTGGAGAGAATGGCTCAAAAACAGACAAAAGTGTAAAAATCAAATAATTCAATTAAGTTACAACTAATTGTGTTAAGAATGCTACTTAATTGAAAGACTGAAACAGTAGAACAAGGTGTGCTGAAGCTTGAAGCAATAGCCAGGACAACACGATATGAGCCTTCTTCAGCGAATGAAAATGCAACAAGAAAATCTCATATCTAGTTGTCCTGTCTGTTGATTCAAGCTTCAACATACTTTTTTTCGACCATTTCATTTACGCAGCTTGTTGTATATATATTTAGTTTACTTAGCTTGTTTTATAGATATGTAGTTTACTTAGCTTGTTTTATAGATATGTAGTTTACTTAGCTTGTTGTATAGATATGTAGTCTACATGAAAGAGACCAAAATTCTTAGCTTGTTGTACATAGTATTGATATATGCAGTCTACATGAAGCGGTAGACATATGCAGTTGATAAACGTAATAAATATCCAGCTTTTGTTAAAACGATGATACAAGAGCTGTGTGATATGATCGTGACTGTGTTAACTAACTGTTTTAGGATAATGAATACAATCAGACATTTCCTACATGTCATTATTTTTTCTATCTGAAAAAAATTGTGTTCAAATGTATTGTCAACAGGGTTTTACGAAGTCAACAATATCACAAAATAAATCAACAACATAACAAAAAAGGTCAACCATATAACAAAGTAGGTCAACACCATCACAAAATATGTCAACCACGTCACAAAATAGGTCCACCACGTCACAAAATAGGTCCCCCACGTCACAAAATAGGTCCACCACGTCACAAAATAGGTCCACTACATCACAAAATAGGTCAACCACATCACAAAATAGGTCAACCACATCACAAAATAGGTCAAACATGTCATCAAAAGAGGGCCAACAACATTACGAATATAGCACAAAATGAGTCCACACTATTATGACCGAACAAACAGGATCTCTTGACAGTAAACAACATCACAAAAAGACATACCTATCAAACAAGATTTTAGTTTAAGGAACCTTATCGCAAACCCATTGGAAAATGCCCACATTATTGAGCTTTCCCCACCCGACATCACACATTGTAACAAGAGGTGTCGCTTAGTGGAATCACATTTTATTAGCATCAGCCGCATTATAGAATCAAATTTAAAGTAAACGTTAATACATTCTCTGCATTCTTTAAAGTAGAATCGCACATACGGATATTAAAACCACAGATTCGGATATTACAAACCACACATTCGGATATTACAACCACACATCGGGATATTACAACAACACATTGGGATATTAGAATCATACATTCGGATATTAGAATCACACATTCGGATATTAGAACTACACATTCGGATATTAGAATTACACATTCGGATATTAGAAACACACATTCGGATATAAGAAACACACATCCGAATATTAGAATCAGGTTCACAGAGCGAAAGGTGCATAATAAATCATAAAAAAACACAAAATCGTTCTCCTAGAACATGCAGCTTGCCGGGAAAGATCACCTTTAAGTGGGGTGGTGTGCAAAATTAAGGTCCGCGGGCCACATGGGGCCCGTGAAAAAGTTGCCCACCCTGAGTTAAAGTAATTACTGGCTTACCTAAATTTCCCAGTTGTTTTCAGGCAACACAAGCAAGAAAACCAAAAAAAAAAAAATGTGTTGATCACGTCATCGTTATTTGAGTACTATTTCAATAACGAAGAAAAAAACAAACACAACGCCCATGAGTTGAACAGAGCGGCGTTCCCCAAATGGTGGTCCACGAGCCTGACGTTACCGTTCCGCACAACTTAAATATTTATGGTAAAATAGAAAGAAAATATGATTTATAAAAACCAGTACGGATGATGAATGCAATGTAAAAAAAAAACAAAACAAAAAAAAACTATTCCAACGGTCCGCCAAACCTAAGTTTGGGAGTTATGGATCCGCGGGAATCTAGAAGACATTCTGAGAAGGATGTTGGACAAGTTGGTTGGAGGCGACAGTGGCCTATAGAAACGTCTGCAAGGGTTTCTGTGGCACTACAAGACAAACTTTATTGTTACATACACATTTTGAGTTTAGTAAAATGGAAAGTGTGGCTGGTTCGAATCGACCGTTGATTGTCTGAATAGACAGCGGACACACACGATCACGGTCACTGCTGCAGGACTTAAGAAGCTCGTTGTTTTGACGATGGCTTTAAAGCCAAATAGAATGACCCGTGTGTGGACAGAGGCCAACATGGAATGATCCGTGTGTGGACAGAGGCCAACATGACAGAGGCCAACATGGAATGATCCGTGTGTTGACAGAGGCCAACATAGAATGATCCGTGTGTGGACAGAGGCCAACATGGAATGATCCGTGTGTGGACAGAGGCCAACAGAAATAATATAAGACGCGAAGAATTATTCTGTACAGTCTGCACTGTTGTTGACTGTTAACGTAAATGTGTGAATACTTTTTGTCTCTCTCCCCATCTCTCTTCACTTTCTCTCCCCATCTTTCTCCCTCCCTCTCTCCGCTCTCTCTCTCCACTCTCTTTCTCCGCTCTCTCCCCTCTCTCTCACCCCATGTCTCTCCCCTCTCTCTGCCTCTCTGCCCCCCTCTCTCCCCCCCCTCTCTCTCTCTCTCTTACCCCCACCCTTTACAAACGTTGGGCAGCTTTTAAAACGTCCTTATTAGAATCCTAACTAGATATATTTACATAGTTGGTCAGTCAAGGATCCCACTCACTTTTGAATTGTCTGTCATCCACATCCGATGATTTGAATTAAGTCATGGATACAATGAAGTACGATTGCCAGGTACACATCCATCACCATATCAGGAATTGCTATCGTTGGATTGTCTCAGTCACGTGACCCCTGGTCTACCCACCACGTGACCCATGGTCCCCCCCACCAATCATTAGGCTCCACACTCCTCGCGTTTTAAAGACAACCCCCCACCCTTC